GTTCCTCTGTCCATGGTATTCTCCAGGCAATAATACTGGAGTGGGTTTTCATGCTCTCCTCCAGGGGATCACCCTGACCTGGGATCGAACTTACATCTCCTGAGTCTCCTGCATTGGCAGGCAGGTTCTTCGCCACTAGAGACACCTGGGAAGCTCCAAGGTGAGAGGTATTCAAGGGTTAAAATAAATTCAGTTCAGTTCAGTTCAGTTGCTCAGTCATGTCCGACTCTTTGCGATCCCATGGACTGCAGCACGCGAGGCCTCCCTGTCCATCACCAACTCCTGGAGTTTACTCACACTCATGTCCATAGAGTCAGTGATGTCATCCGATCATCTCATCCTCTGCTGTCCCCTTTCCCCCATTTTCAATCTTTCCAAGAATCAGATTTTTTTCAAAAACCGGAGTCAGTTCATCTCAGTATTGAGTATGAGTCAGTTAGGCAATATGAGTCAGTTAGGCACTGGAGTTTTCAGCTTCAGCATCGGTCCTTCCAATGAACACCCAGGACTGATTTCCTTTAGGATGGACTGGTTGGATCTCCTTGCAGTCCAAGGGACTCTCAAGAGTCTTCTTCAACACCACAGTTCAAAAGCATCAATACTTCAGTGCTCAGCTTTCTTTATAGTGCAACTCTCACATCCATACATGACTACTGAAAAAAGCCATAACCTTGACTAGATGGATCTTTGTTGGCAAAGTAATGTCTCTGCTTTTTAATATGTTGTATAGGTTGGTCATAACTTTTCTTCCAAGGAGTAAGTGTCTTTTAATTTCATGACTACAGTTACCATCTGCAGTGACTATGGAGCCCAAAAAAAAACAAAGTCTCTCAGTGTTTCCACTGTTCCCCCATTTATTTGCCATGGAGTGATGGGACCGGATGCCATGATCTTAGTGTTCTGAATGTTGAGCTTTAAACCAACTTTTTCACTCTCATCAAGAGGCTCTTTAGTACTTCTTCCCTTTCTGCCAAAAGGGTGGTGTCACCTGCATATCTGAGGTTATTGATATTTCTCTCGGCAATCTTGATTCCAGCAATGCTTGATTCCCAGCAATTGTGCTTCAGTCAAGCATTTCTCATGATGTACTCAGCATATAAGTTAAAGAAGCAGGGTGGCAATATGCAGCCTTGATGTACTCCTTTCCCAATCTGGAACCAGTCTTTTGTTCCATATCCAGTTCTAAAGGTTGCTTTCTGACCTGCATAGATTTCTCAAGAGGGAGGTCAGTTGGCCTGGTATTCCCATCTCTTTCAGGAAGGCTTTGGAATAGTCAGTAAGGCAGAAATAGATGTTTTTTTTGGAACTCACTTGCTTTTTGCATGATGCAACAGATGTTGGCAATTTGATATCTGGTTCCTCTGCCATTTCTAAAACCAACTTGACCATCTGGAAGTTCAAGGTTCATGTGCTGTTGAAGCCTGGCTTGGAGAATTTTGAGCATTACTTTGCTAGCGTGTGAGATGAGTGCAATTATGTGGTAGTTTGAATATTCTTTGGCATTGCTTTTCTTAGGGATTTGGATGAAAACTGACCTTTTCCAGTCCTGTGGCCACTGCTGAGTTTTCCAAATTTGCTGGCATATTGAGTGTAGCACTTTCACAACATCATCTTTTAGGATTTGAAATAGCTCAACTAGAATTCCATCACCTCCACTAGCTTTGTTCATAGTGATGCTTCCTAAGGCCCACTTGACTTTGCATTCCAGGATGTCTGGCTCTAGGTGAATGATCATACCATTGAATTATCTGAGTCATGAAGATCTTTTTTGTATAGTTCTTCGGTGTATGGGTGTGAGAGTTGGACTATAAAGAGAGCTGAGTGCTGAATAATTGATGCTTTTGAACTGTGGTGTTGGAGAAGACTCTTGAGAGTCCCCTGGACTACAAGGAGATCCAACCAGTCCATCCTAAAGGAGATCAGTCCTGGGTGTTCGTTGGAAGGACTGATGTTGAAGCTGAAGCTCCAGTACTTTGACCACCTGATGTGAAGAGCTGACTCATTGGAAAAGACCCTGCTGCTGGGAAAGATTGAGGGCAGGAGGAGAAGGGGATGACAGAGGATGAGATGGTTGGATGGCGTAACTGACTCAGTGGACATTGGTTTGGGTAGACTCTGGCAGTTGGTGATGAACAGGGAGTCCTGGCGTGCTGCGGTGCATGGGGTCGCAAAGAGTCGGACACGGCTGAGCGACTGAACTGAACTGAACTCTGTATATTCTTGCCACCTCTTCTTAATATCTTCTACTTCTGTTAGGTCCCTACCATTTCTCTTCTTTATTGAGCCAATCTTTGCATGAAATGTTCCCTTGGTATCTCTAATTTTCCTGAAGAGATCTCTAGTTTCCCATTCTATTTCTTTCCTCTTGTTTCTTTGCATTGATCACTGAGGAAAGCCTTCTTATCTCTCCTTGCTATTCTTTGGAACTCTGCATTCAAATGAATATATCTTTCCTTCCCTCCTTTGCTTTATGCTTCTCTTCTTTTCACAGCTATTTTTAAGGCCTCCTGAGACAGCCATTTTTCTTTTTTGCATTTCTTTTTCTTGGGGACTATCTTGATCCCTGTCTCCTGTACAATGTCATGAACCTGCATCCATAGTTCTTCAGGCACTCTATCAGATCTAATCCCTTGAATCTGTTTCTCACTTTCACTGTATAATTGTAAGGGATTTGATTTAGGTCATACCTGAATGATCTAGTGGTTTCACCTACTTTCTTCAATTTAAGTCTGAATTTAGCAATAAGGAGTTCATGATCTGAGCCACAGTCAGCTCCCAGTCTTGTATTTACAGTCTGTATAGAGCTTCTCCATCTTTGGTTGCAAAGAATATAATCAATCTGATTTCAGCATTGACCATCTGGTGATGTCCATGTGTAGAGTCTTCTCTTTTGTTGTTAGAAAGGCGTGTTTGCTATGACCAGTGCATTCTCTTGGCAAAACTCGATTAGCCTTTGCCCTGCTTCATTCCGTATTCCAAGGCCAAATTTGCCTGTTACTCCAGGTGTTTCTTGACTTCCTACCTTTGCATTCCAGTCCCCTGTGATGAAAAGGACATCCTTTTTGGGTGTTACTTCTAGAAGGTCTTGTAGGTCTTTGTAGAACCCATTCAACTTCAGCATTACTGGTAGGGGCATAGACTTGGATTACCATAATATTGGGTAGTTTGCCTTGGAAACGAACAGAGATCATTCTGCATTTTGGACTTTTTTGTTGACTAGGATTGCTACTCCATTCCTTCTAAGGGATTCTCGCCCACAGTAGTAGATATAATGGTCATCTTAGTTAAAGTCACCCATTCTAGTCCATTTTAGTTCGCTGATTCCTAAAATGTCGATGTTCACTCTTGCCTTCTGTTTGACCACTTCCAATTTGCCTTGATTCATGGACCTAACACTCCAGTATTGCTACACAGTATTGCTCTTTACAGCTTCAGACTTTATTTCCATCACCAGTCATATCCACAACTGAGTTTGGTTTTTTGCTTTGGCTCCGTCTCTTCATTCTTTCTGGAGTTATTTCTCCACTGATCCAATGGCATATTGGGCACCTATCAACCTGGAGAGTTCATCTTTCAGTGTCCTATATTTTTGCCTTTTCATCCTGTTCATGGGGTTCTCAAGACAAGAATACTGAAGTGGTTTGCCATTCCCTTCTCCAGTGGACCACGTTTTGTCAGAACTCTCCACCATGACTCGTTCGTCTTGGGTGGCCCTATACGTCATGGCTCATAGTTTCATTGAGTTAGACAAGGCTGTGGACCATGTGATCAGATTGGTTAGTTCTCTGTAACTGTGGTTTTCAGTCTGTCTGCCCTCTATGGAGAAGGATAAGAGGCTTATGGAAGCTTCCTGATGGGAGAGACTAACTGAAGAGGAAACTGGGTCTTCTGATGGGTGGGGCCATGCTCAGTAAATCTTTAATCCAATTTTTTGTTGATGGGTGGGACTGTGTTCCCTACCTCCTGTTTACCTGGGGCCAAACTATGGTGGAGATAATGAAGATAATGGTGACCTCTCAAAAGGCACCAGGCATGTACTGCTACACTCAGTGCCTCCAACCCTGGAGCAGGCCACCACTGACCCATGCCTCCCCCGTAGACTCCTGGACACACCCAGGCTAGTCTGGGTCAGTCTCTTGTGGGGTCACTGCTCCTTTCTCCTGGGTCCTAGTGCACACAAAGTTCTGTTTATGCCCTCCAGAGTCTGTTTCCCAGTCCTGTATAAGTTCTGGCAGCTCTATGGTGGGGTTAATGGTGACCCCCTCCAAGAGGGCTTATGCCATACCCAAGTCTGCTGCACCCAGAGCCCCTGCACCAATGGCAGTCCACTGCTGATCTTTACCTCCATAGGAGACACTCAAACACAGTTCTGTCTCAGTCTCTCTGGGGTCTCTGGTCCAGATCTTTAGTTTTAATGATATTGAACAATTCAATTATAATTACTGAAGTATATATTTGATTCCAGTTTTTTGTTTTTTTTAGTTATGGAATTAAAGTTTTTAATTGTGTATTTGTTTGTAGACTTCTTAAGAATATATTTGAACAAATCATTGATATATATAACCCTTCCAGGTTAATTGAGAAAGAAACACTAATATACAAAACATTTCTCCTTTATGAAGCTCTTGAAATATCCTATTGTCAATCCAAACAGAATAAACTAAAATGAGATAATTGGGAAGGTGCCCATAAAGTCAGCCTGAATATATTATCACAACTATATATGAGATAATATTTGTTTTAAAAAGATTCTATGGCACTGTAAACTCAGTCTCATTAGAGACTGCATTTAAAAGGCTTATAAAGTTACTCATTAATGTTATCTTGTTGTATCTCCACAGCTTTTTCATTAAAGAAAATTCAGCAGAAAGCATTTTCTCCTGATAGCAGGAACCAATTTGCAATAAATGTTCTGGAAACCACTAGGGAAGCCATTACTGAGGTCTAATAAAAACAGACAAGCGTAACTTGTTCTATATTTTTGTTTCAATCACACACAGATGAGACCCCGCTTTCCACACCAACTGCAAGAGACAGCCTTGACAAACTTTCTCTAACTGGGCATGGACAACCACTACCTCCAGGATTCCCATCTCCTTTTCTGTTTCCTGATGGATTGTCTTCCATAGAGACCCTTCTGACTAACATACAGGTAGGACTTTTTCACATTCTGGGAGAAAGGAACATGGAGGATTCAGCTGTCAGTTTTTCCCAAAGTCTTACTATTCCAGCTTAATCCATTCTTGAGACTGACGAAACCATGATAATGCATTTTTCTAGCCATTTGATATTTTAAACCTAATACACAAATTCAGTTGGTTAGAAATACCCCAATAGGTATACTGCATCTTAATAAATACTTAGACGAAATGACCTGGGCCTTTTAAAAACCATTCTGCCTAAATGTTCTTTTTATTGCCAACTAATAGTAGGAATCTAGCTCTTTAAGTTTGTCTGATGTATTAAAAGACAGTATACCAGTTCTAATAAATATTTAGCTGTTTTAAACTGCTGGCCTTTTAGTGAGGAAATGATATGTTTAGTCACTTAAATATGTCTAAGTGAAAAAGAATCCAAGAAATCCCTTCTTTCATAAATTAGTTTATTTCAGTTAATAGGATTTCTTCAAAGAATAGACTTCAAAAAGTCATACAAAACTTTTCACATATTTTGTATGTAGTCTTCAGGATGTATATTTTATGTACAGTACATTATGAATAAAAAATACAGTTAACAATAACATAGAACAGTGAGCCAAAATAATAAGTGTTTGGGATAAAAGAAAGCATAATTTTTTGCCCACACATGAAGTGGTCATGTGGACCCCAGATGGAGCTTTTTGCCATCTACTTCTCCACACTTAAAATAGCTGGTAGTAATATGCCTGCAGATACTCTGGTGGTTTTTTTTGGTTTTAATCTTTGTTCTAGCACTCAATCCTTAGTGGTATTTTTCTGTACACATTTCCTACCATATTAAACTTTCTCCCAGTAGAAATGTAATTAATTTTATTTACCTCTCTAAGGACATAACAGAAGGCCTTTAATGTAACATATCTTCTCATCTGTTAATATGGCATTTTTAATACTAATGTAATTAGAATCTCCAGAACTGTATTCAACTTTAAGGTTTTATATCTCAGTAATTGAAATAAATCATCAGTCTAACCTCAATGTAGTCATAGCCAAATAACTGATTATATTTTAAAATAAACATGTAACTTTTTTTCTAAATTCAGCCCACATTATTATTTTCTGAGTTAAAGTTCTTAATGCATTTCTCTTTTATTAAATTAAATGCTTTCAAAAACATCCCTCAACATTTCTGAATTTACACTTTGAGAAGTAAGGGAATAATTAAGTTTCTTTTGTATGTTGTGTGTGTGTGTACATATATATATTTATATATATATAATTCTATATGAAGCAAATAAAAAGCTAAACATTTACTTAAAATTCTCCATCTAGGTGTCTGTATCTTCACTAACTAAAAGCCTCTTTAATGGGGAAAATAATAATTTAATTACAATTTCAGCAAAGAAAACATTTCTGTGTAAACATTCACTAGTGTAGGCCAGTTTGCTCATCTGAAGAGTAGATTTACACAGGGACCCTTGCATTCTGTGTGAAAACCACATGACTAAGCCAAATTCTGTGTTTGGGAATGTTTATCCACCCACCCATAGCCAGTAATACCCAGACTAGGAATGTTATCTGCATGCGTGCTTGCATGCTAAGTCAGTTCGGTTGGGTCAGACTCTGTGTAACTCTATGGACTATAGCACTCCAGGATCCTCTGTCCATGGGATTCTCCAGGCAAGTATACTGGAGTGGGTTGCCATGCCTTCCGTAAGATCTTCTGAACCCAGAGATTGAACCCACATCTCTTCTGTCTCCTGCATTGGTGGCCAGGCTCTTTACCACTAGCACGACTTGAGGAGCCCAGAAATGTTATCTGCATCACCTCAAATTATAATTATTTCTTTAAAGAAAGAAAAAAAGAAAAGGGAAATTTTCAGTTTTAAATTGTGCAAATTTAGATAAATTATTTTTTATTAAATGTATCTCTGGAAATAATATATTCTCTAGCCTTCCAAACAGCCTTAAGAGGATGTATTAGGAAGAGTTGATGATAGGAGTCAAGTCAAGGTAAATTATTTCTTCTAGTCCTAAATCATAGGATTCTGGGTCTGACAAAGTTAGAACACTCACAATAAAAATGCTTCATTTAGGGACTTCCCTCTAGGTTCAGTGGTTAAGACTTTGCCTTCCAATGAAGGGGGTGTGGGTTTGATCCCTGGTCAGGTAGCTAAGATCCCTCATGACTCACAGACAAAAAACAACATAATCAGCCAAAGCAATATTGTAACAAATTTAGCAAAGACTTTAAAAATGGTCCACATCGAAAAAGAGAATAATATTTCATTTAAAATAAATTATGCTCGTTCACTTAAGTTTCACATATAAATGTATACAGATGAGATATTACATATGTATATATATGAATTTGATACCTGTATACAAGTATATGTGCATGCACTATATGTATGTAAGGTAAATAAATATTGAAAATCTTGCTAAGTGCCATACACAGTAAAACAAACAATACATACATTCATACATACTTAATACATGTTCACACACACACACACAAGCCAGACATACATGCTGGATTTATGTTCAGTTATAGTTTCACATTATTTTACAAAAGGTCATAGTTGCTAGCTCTTTTATTATTATTACATATGTTGAGTTATAGTAATATCCTAGGAATGGTATAGAATATTTAAACAGTCATGACTCTGACTCATGGGGCATACAGTATAAATGTGTTTGCTGTCCAAATTCTAATTTGGGTAATTACATTCTGTCTACCTCAATTTCCTTTGTAAGTTCAATTATGTATAATGGGGTTCTCTGCTTTCTGTTTCAAATGGCAACACTCTTTTGGTGTGGTAAATTTAAAGCTCTATATTTCCTTTGAAGATACTTTATCACAATGACAATGAAAAATAATTGAGTTGAAAGTATTTGCATTTTTATATCATACAATATCATGTTTAAAATTAAAGGTTTATTGTGTATGTTTTCTATTTTAAAATATTGTGTTCTATTTAAATTTAATGCACATAAATTCTATTTCTTTTAGAATTAATAACCAAAACTACTCAAAATAATATTTAAGGAGTTATTGTTCTAATATTCAATCCTTTGGTTTCATGATATTCTATAATTTGATAATTTTAAAGTTAAGAATTGTTAATAGATACTGTAGGTGTCCCTTCCATGACACATTATGAAAAGTGAATTTTCTTAAATGGTATTTCTTTGTGCTTTAAAAGAGGGCCTGTAGAAAAATACTATATGTTAATATTTTAAAATATATAATCTATATATAGTATAGAAAATGCGTTTTATATATAGTATAGAAAAATATATGTAGTATAGAAATATATGTGTATACTGTATATCTTTAGGTACCAGATTTTTGCTAACTCCTAGAGCTATACGGTTCTTTCTTAAAGTTTGAATGTTTTTATAAATTAGAAGTCATAAAGGATAATGATGTCTTCAGTAAGGAACAGCAATTTCACTTTAGTGACGTTTAAATTCACTCTAGATTTTGCTTTTTAGAATTAAAAAAAATTATCTTATATGGAATTTTATTTTATTTTTCTATGTGGATAGTCTTTCATTATGGTTTCCTTAATCAAACGTGTTCATGGACAACTCCCTATGAGATTTTAGGTGAGGAAAGTAGAATTTTAGTATCAATTTACTGGGTGTGACACCTCCAATCATTGATTATCATTTGAACAAACTGAAGGGAGAATTTTACCCAGTATTCTCAATCTGAGCTTTCAAGCTATAAATCATAACTGGGATATATTCGCACATAAGACCAGGAATAAATATGTTATACTGTTTATTACCCTATTTACAAAAATTATTTGAAAGGATAGTTAAATAAATAAAAAGTAGAAAAGAAAAATAAGGTAGAGAATATAAAATTTAGTGAGGGGTGATATTAGCACTGAGGATATATACCATAAGGGGAGTAGGATAGATGTTTGGTTCACTCTGGTTTGTCTATGTGGAAGTGTTAAACAAACAAGGAAAATAAAAGGGATGTTAAAACCACAATGAATGGCAGGCTCAGATTGGTTCACTATGGTCTGGCAAATAAACATATTCTGACTGTGGTATTTAAAAAGCATTCTTTACTTCTATGTTTAATGGAAGACAATGAAAAATAATTGGACCAAAATATTCTGATTATTCATATTCCAGTCTCTACATTTCAATGTCATGACCAGTAATATGTTTAATACATTTCAAAGAAATAAATAATTTTTATTTGCATTATTAATATGTATTTTATTTATAAAAATATGTATTATTAATTAGTTATATAGTTACTAATCTCCTCTGACTGATTAAAGAATTAGAAAGAAACTTTTCAAAAGATAATAAAATAAGACATTGACTTCAAAATATGGGTAGACTAGCATCAAATACATTGGTTTTTATATTATATCTTTTTATCTTTAATCATGGTATATCTTCTCCTGTATGTCCCATTACCAATTTTGTGAAAAGAGATCATGAAAAAAACAGTAAAACATAGCCAATATTTTAAACTCAGTTTACTGTAATGAAGAGAGTGGCATTAATCTCTTAAAAATCTGGACTCTGTATCATATTTACTAATTTATATCATATACAACAACAATACTAATATCAATAGTAAAACTAATTTTACTGAGGACTTCCCTGGTGGATCAGTGGTAAAGAATTCCCTTAGCAATACAGGAGATGCAGGTTCCATCCCTGGGTCAGGAAGATCCCATGGAGAAGGAAATGGCAACCCACTCCAGTATGCTTGCTGGAAAATCCCATGGACAGAGGAGCCTGGTGGGTTACAGTCCATTGGGTCCCCAAAAACGTAGGGCATGACTTAGCAACTAAACAACAATATTTGCTGAATAATCTTAATATGTCCTTGTGCAGGAAATATACTCCTTTGAGTTTCTTCTACTCTAACACTACTTAAATTCTCACACTTTTAATGCACCAATGTCTGAGTTTTTCCCATACCAAGCAATTCTGCGACCTAAGCTGGGGGCCCTACATTTTATCCCAGTTCAGGCATGATCTGCTTAGAGATAGCATCAGATCTCTTAGGTTAGGAGTTCAGCCTCAGAAACCTGCTTCCTGCCCCCACTTTCATTGCCGGTTGTTAAGTCCAGGTTGTAATCTGTGCTTGTGACCAACCAGCTACGGACTGGAGGTTCCCACCATGCCTGCCAATTAATTTCTTAAAGCAGATCATAGAACTTAGGAAAAAGTGTTACTTATGTACCTGGTGTTTTATAAAAGATTATAAACCAAGGGCCAGAAGGAGTGGGTGAATTGTCCAATACAGTTCAGAAACAGATGGAAGAAATGTATAGGGCAATGTATTTGGAAAGAGGCATAGAGCTTCCATTCCCTCACACGTCACCCACCCTGTACCTCCATACACTGACCAATTCAAAAGTTCTCTGAATCTCATCCATCCTTTAGGGACTTGCCAAAAGTCAACTTATTAACAGAAACTCATGTGTAGTTGCAAGGAGTTTATTATGAATAACAGAAGACCCATTTCACCTCTGTTATTCTTATCATTTAGGAAGTTCCACTCGTAGCATCCCTAGATACCAATATCCAGTATAGGATACCTAGAAGTGCTTTTGATGGAGAATTCATCATTAATCAACTTTGAAGTACAGTAACCATAACAGTAAACCAAATATAGTATCTTTTGTCACAAGAGTGGCAAAAATGTTTTAGGTGATACTGTTCTGTCATATTATTTAAAGTTCCTAACTTCAAGACACACTATTCTTTCTTTTCTTTTGGAATGAAACACCAAACAAAGAAAAAAAGAAAAACCAAAAACCTCAGGGTAGCTCTGATCTAGGCTTAGTCAACTTACTCGTTTGGGACCTTAGACAAGTCACCTCCTCCTTCTGTACCTTGGTTTTCTTGTCTTTGAAAGGTTTAAGCTAGAGTAGATAATGGCTAAAAATCTCCTCCAACTAGGTTTGTTGTTATTGTTTTGTTGCTCAATAGTGTCCAACTCTTTTGCTACCCCATGGATGACAGTCTGCCAGTTCTCTCTTTCCATGGGATTTTTCTAAGCAAGAATGCTAGAGTCTGTGTGATCCCATGGACTACAGCCTGCCAGGCTCGTCTGTCCATGGGATTTCCCAGGCAAGAATACTGGGTTGCCATTTCCTTATTTAGTCTCATTAGAAACAGCAAATTACTGAACACAAATTTTGTCACCTGAGTTTAAATGATACTCATGGAAACGTACATGTTATCTAATTCTAAAATTTGTACAAAATACAAATATGTACCAAGTAAGTTTTTCTTCCTCTAGGGTCTAACTAGTAAATTAAGAAATGCTTCTGTCATATCAATATTACTTAAAGTCTCCTATACAGGCAGATATTTATACTTCCTAGGCAAGAGAAATAGTTGACATATTGCTAGATTAATGTATCCTTTATATAGATATATATATATATACATATATATATAGTTTATAAACTCATTCCCTGAAAAATGATAGAAATTTGTTTACATGGCATAGTACTTTAGAAAGCAAAAATGTTTCTGTATTATGACAAGCATTATGTTTGCATATAGAAAAGAAATCTGAGGTCAAATAACCACTATCTTTAATAACTGCTGTGTCACAGAGTAAGTTTAAAATGCTTTTTTTTTTTTTTAACGAATCGTTACTATCCAGCTTCAACATCATGAGAACTGACCTCCCCTTGGGAACAAATTTTATGTTTTAAGCCTTGTTTCTTTTACATTAAATCACATTGCCATTGTAGAATTTTGCTTGATATCGCATGACCACATGAGACCTAGTATTTCGTGTGACCTTTTGCATATGATCTACCTGGAAAATTTACAGAAGTTACACAAATCTGATAGTACTATTATCACTGATGGTTAAAATGGTGTCCCAATGATTTGTAGATGTTGTGAACACTACTTGCTTTTGTTTTTCCCAGTCCCCTGCTGCATTGAAGTTTAATTGGTTTTCTGTATTTTTTGCAGCAGAGCTGTCACAGACAATAACATATTTTTTGCATATGTATCAGTTTGGCTCTAGTGAAGATTTTTGTTCACACTGGACTCCTACTGATGTGCACTGATTTAAAGTCTAAAAATGAAACTTAATTTTATACAGCTTATAAGTAGTCCCTAGAGGGTATTGGATCCTAAAAGCTAATATTTTTCAGACATAATCAGCAGGAATAAGTAATGTACTACCATTAGCGACATTAACAGCAATGTAACAGAAGGAAACAATAAACATAAATGTTCTTAGCAACTTTATACTTTACAACAAATATTAATATAAAATTACACAAATTAGAACTGCAGTGTAACACTATTCAACACATTTATTCATAATGATTGTTTCATATTTAAAGAACACCAAAATATTGTGTTTTGTCAGCCAAGGACAGTAATAGTTTAATAGTAATTTATTTTAAACAGCTACTGATAATACAACCAATCAACACATTAAGTGGTGCCAACATTGGCATCTTGCTAAATAATCTCTAGACATTGCAGAGAGAGTACATCTTTCAAAGATAAGTCAACAAGAGCAATCAGAGCAGAAAATTAGAATTTGGTATCTTAGAATTAAAATACAGCTAAACTAAAGTTTTAATTGGGGTGATCTAAAAGGGCACTTGATGTAATGATCTCTTTCATTTGTTACTAATTGTTTGTTCCTGATGAAGAAGAAACATATACAGGAATATTGCTGAATTAAGATGGCAGTTTCCTTAGCAGCTATGTTTTATTGTTAAAAACAGAAGAATAGAGAGAAGTGAGCTGCCAGCCAGCTTCTTTCCTATCACAAAAATTAATCCAGAAAATCCAGAGTCAGTTATATCAAATATTAAATATTAATAGCTTATATGTGCTTGAAAAGAAACTTAAAAAGACTTGTGACAATTGGTGGGCTGAGCTCAAGGTACATTCCTATTGCAGTAGCAAGTCAAGCTGGAACTGAAATGTATGAATCAAACTTCTTATGTTGTATACTACAAAGGGGTAAAGGGGTCTCCAATATATCTACAACTGGCATTAACTGCCATTTCAGTTCTAATTTCAATTGAAAAATTCAGCTGCTGATGTTCATAAACAAAAGCAAAGCATCTTTTCCAAAAGGGCATTTTGAATTGCTGAGTTGAGACAGATTGAAATCTTAGCTCCTATTTTTACTAATAATTTTAGTAATAATTTTCTAATGTATCTTAGCAGAGAACACATGCAGAATGCTTTGCATATGTTTTATATATTCTCATAATCTCATTTTTTAAAATTTCAGAATATTACTCATATATTAATATAGCATATAGTCAAATTATATATACATTATTTTATAATCAGTTGTATAAGTAGATATAATTTGCTTTTGCCATATACTATTATTATATATACTGTTAAATATTCCCCTAAAATTTATCCTCTGTTTAGAGCCATTTTGATGGATTTTTTAAAAACTAATGCATTACTAAGCCATGAAGTTTTGGATCCCTGATGCATATTATATATCTCAAGAAATATATACCATATTATAATTTCTGTTCAATAAATTTTTGAAATCTACTGTATAGTAGGCACTGTCTGGGTTTTAGTAACCATAGTACCCAATGAGAGAAAATGTCTATGCCTCAGAGAACTTACATTTCAGTGAAGAAGATGCAAAATATGGCACTAAACAAATAAATAGATGACAATATTACATAGTAAGGGGTATGAAGAATTTTAAGGAGGGAATAAAAAGGTGAGTTTGGAGGGCTAGTCCAGATAAGCTGTGAAGAGAGAGAGTGTTCCCCAGTGATGATTGAACAAAGATGAAATGAATGTAGGAGTGAACCATGCAAAACACGGGAGGAAAAGCATTCAGGAGGGAAATAGAGAGCCAAGTGCCTGGTGCAGAAACAAACTGGTGTCTTAAGAAACAAATGGCCACTCATGTTGTATATAATCTCAGTAGGCAGTGGTAGAGAATGAGTCCTGCGAGAAAGGTGGGTATTGCTAACATCGCATGGGGTTACATAAACTATGTCAGATAATTACACATGGAACAAATCAGTCTAATTTTCTTCACAATATTTAATTTTAAGATACACTTATGTGTTGCCCTCATGTAGTATTAAACCTAGATACTCTAATTAGAAGCAATTGAACCTGCATGCCAAAAATATTTGTCTTCCTAAAATAGTTTAATTAAACTTAGAAAAAGTTTGCTTTACTTTTGCTATTTGTCTTAGTGAGTACAGAGTGACTGCACAACAGGAATGAAGGTATTTGATAAGTGGGCTGTTCTCTTTTAAAATGTTAAAGTAATGAATGAACTGTGCTGCATACCAAAATATTATAATTCTGAATGCCTTCTTTGTACAGGGGCTATTGAAAGTTGCCATAGATAATGCCAGAGCTCAAGAAAAACAGGTTCAACTTGAAAAAACAGAACTGAAGATGGATTTTTTAAGGGAAAGAGAACTAAGGGAGACACTTGAGAAGCAGTTGGCAATGGAACAAAAGAATAGAGGTATTTTTAAACTTCCAAACAAGTTTAATACTTAGCATCAAATGTTCAACATAACAATATTTCGTGATTTACTATGAAACTGTAACTTTTTTGTTTTTACTTGTAGCTAAAGTTTAGTGCAGGATTTGAATCCTGAGCTTAACCTTCAAAGTACATGGTTTCTCTTCCCTTCATACCTCAAAAAACTGAAATATATCCATTATATCATTAATCGCATAATTTTTATTGCTTATAGATTTAACCAATTCATAATTTTAAGATAAGAAGGAGTTCTGATGACAGTCATGAAGAAAAATTCTATATTCATTCATAATTGCCCTTTGAAAAGCTTGAGCTAAAGTCATAAAGCTAAAATAGAAAAATAGTGATTATTCAAGCGAGGCAGATTTAGTGAGATTTTTATCAACTGAAATGGAAGACTGATGAATATCTGAACAAATGACCAAAGTTGAGTATTTGTATAATTTTCTTTCTGAACGCCTCATTTTCATCCAACAAGGTCAAATACACATCAGAGTAGAAACTGATGTGAATTTTTATTGGGTAAAAATAATGTCATTATCAGTCAATGAACTGCTTCTTTTTACACACTTTACAGTGCATGTTTAGATAATTTTGAAGGTCATTCATATTTGTATGCTTATTTTATGTATGAGATCCAAGAGTATTGTCTTTACAATCAACTTCCCCTCTGTTTCAACTCTGAAGTTCTCCTCAATGTTTAAAAGGGGAAGCTCCTTTTCTCTCATTTAATAAGTATCCACTGTAAATACTCCGCACTTTGCTCTGATATGTGTGACATGGTCATTTAAAAATCATTCTTTCTTTCAAAACTGGCAGAATTAATAGGCTTTTTATTTGTTACTATGAAGCAATAGTTAGTCAGTTCCCAGGATGAGGCTGATTTAGGCAGCTGGCACTCTGGGTGCAGAGCACTGTTCTAAGTAATGTGACTTCACATAGATTTAGCTACTAGAGTAAGCAAAACAAGATAAATGTTGATGGTGGGATATGTTCTGAGTAATGAATATGGTCAAAGGGTTCGTTCTTTGGAACCACCTTCCATGAGATAGCCATGTCGCAATTTTGTTCTCACCTGGAGAAGTCTTTTTCAAACAAGACTTAAAAACAGAACCTTGAATTCTTAAGGTAACCTTTTGGTTACTTGAGAGATTTTCAGAATTGTGTTGGCTTACAACTGTTGGAAGATTTACATTGTTTTATTCCTTTAACCACTAAAGGTATAGGACAAAGTGTTTCACAGACACCATCATGAACCTACCATTTAATTCATTATGAACAACAAGTTAAAGGTAATAACTATCAATAATGATCTATATGAATGTGTCAATGGAAGCTGTGTGTTACCCTGAAGAGAGAAACATGGCAACCCCATTTCCTTCAATCCCATAGGAAGAAACAAAGAACAGTCAATGGCAAGGCACTGGGATTGAGCTTTTAGTGCCATGGGAATAAATAATCCAAATAAATAATTCAGCAACTTCTGTTTCTTTTCAAAGAGACAATATAAGCAATCATCTTTAGAAAGGAAAAGAGTAGGCAAGTAACTTTGTTAAGATTTTCATAGTATTAAATAAAGGGAATTAGCATTTATTTGAAAGCAGTTTTGTTTTTTCTTATAAGATTTGACTCAATGTAAAAACAATTTTCTGTAAATATATGCTACCAGCAACAATAAACTGTAAGATAATGGTCTGCCATTTTAATAATATTGATTATAAAAATAGAATTTTTGGAAACTGGAAATTCCAAGTAACACTCTTACATGAACCATTATTACCTTTTTTGATGTTTTGACCGAATACTACACTAGGTAAAAAATGTTGCTTGTTAATCTGTAGTGATTATACAATAAATTTGGAATGGTTACTTATCACTTAATTCTGCCAGAAGGATTTTCTCATACTAATTCTGTCGCATTCATATCCACAATGTTTATCAACCATCCAGAAAAAAAATTATTTCAAAGAAAATACTTTTATGCTTTCCATATGCTAATTGGTGACTTTACATATAGTTTATAAGTTAAAGCAATGATCAATTATTCTATGTATGAAAGTATAGTTAACATACATTTGTGAAGAAGATTTGTTATTAATTATTGATTACATATTATGTACAAATACTTAAATTGGTCAGTAGGAAAAGAATTCATCATAATTAACTTTTTGTATCATAGGCAACATTTTTATATAAGTAGCAGTGAAGTTTTATATTCATCAAATTCCTACAATCTAAAAGTGTAACTTTCCTGAAATATATTATAGTGGATATGCATCTGCTATGAAATTATTAATATCTCTAAGCAAATTGCAATAGTTTCATCAAAATGTCTGTTTATATATATATATATATAAACAATAATAATATTTAGCTCCATATATGCAATCGTATTTATTACATTGTCTAAAATTTCAAGAAAGAATTATTAAAAATTTTGCTGGTATAACATTTTTGTAAAGATAGGGGAAATGCTCCGTTTACTACTCAAAATTGATGTTTCATAAAGAAAGACTAATCTTAAAGGTTTATACTATTCAGACTATTTTGCATTTGTCTGATTCAAGGGCAGAGACTAAACTACAAAATTTATTTAATCAGACTTCTTTTATTAGTGAGTATAAATATTTATTAAAATTAGTTTCCCATTAAAACTGTCTCCACATATGATAATTGAAGGCATTCTTGTAATAGTTCAAGGCTAAACAAAAATTGGCCTTCATGGACATTTTACTGAGATTTATTTTAGGTAAAAGTGGGTTATTGCTGCTTTTTTTGTTTTGTTTTGTTTGAACTTCCTCTGCACAGACAGGTGCAGTCCAGCAGGGGGGGAAAATAATATTATTTTAAAAATAGAGACCATTTGTGGAAATGTGAACATTGCAAAACTTATGAAAAATAATAATGTATATATACCCTTTTCTAGCCATAGTTCAAAAGAGGCTAAAGAAGGAGAAGAAGGCAAAGAGAAAATTGCAGGAAGCACTTGAATTTGAGACAAAACGGCGTGAGCAAGCCGAACAAACACTAAAACAGGCAGCTTCAACAGATAGTCTCAGGGTCTTAAATGGTAAGAGGATGTGTCTTTATGCATGGCTAACTAACTTTCATTGTGAGTACTCAAAAGGCAATTTAAATGTGTTTGTGGGTTTGTATTTCTATGACTGTTGATTCATTAAGCTCTTTTTGAAAGCATGGTGGAAAGAAAAGTCACATGTGTTGGGGGAAACGTTTTATTTCATGGGTGCTTCCACAGTTTTGTTGCTTCAGTATCTGAGATGACATTGCTTTTCTATTTAACCAATTCTGTCTGTACTGAAACATAATAAAATATTAATATGAGAAGTTCTCAACCCCCCCATCTCATTTTCTGAACAATTTTGCATTATTTATCCATTCAAATCTTCTGATAATTCTCATGGTTATAGTCTTTGTTCAACCTTTAAAAGATGACAAAGATTTATGTAATTTTAATTCAGCACCAAAGTAACAGGTTGCTTTTTTTTTAAAGGACAATGGAAATCAAATGAAATGTGTGTCACTCTTACCTTTCTCTGCTTTTAGACTCTCTGACCCCAGAGATAGAAGCTGACCGCAGTGGCGGCAGAACAGATGCCGAAAGGACAATACAAGGTGGGAATTTGCAAAAGGCTATAAATCTAGATCTTGCTCTATGAGTTTTTCCTCTGCTTTAGCCTGCTATTCAAGCATGTAGCCTACCATCTGGGCCACATCAAAACAAGTTCAAACAAGGTCAAGTTCATCTTGCTTGTTTATATGAGTGAATTCATTTTGTGCTGATAGATTTTCTTTAAATTAACAGGTCATTTCTGTTTATACAATGCAATTAAAAAGGAATAATTAATTTTAAACAATGTATGATTTAATTCTTGAACACAGTAAATGTGTTTTATTGAATGTCTGAAGCCCAATCTAATAGATGAAAGTTTTATAAATTCTATATCAATAAAATCATGAGTTAACTAGGGAGTTCTTAAAATTTGAAATTATCTTCTTTTTGTTTTAGTGACAACTAATGCAAGGTACATGTAAAATAAACCAGGTAAAATCTAACAATAAATAAGATTGTTTAATCCTATGTGGACTTTCCAAGTGGACTGTGTGTCATTATATACATTTTAATAACACAAATCTGCTGAGCAAAATCATATAGAGAATACTACAGGGAGTTTTATTAAACACTCAGAAAAGCAAAATATGTATATTGCCAAGACCACGCTATTAGGAGAGAACAAAATCTGAAGGTAGCATTTATAGTCTCACATCTATTCTAGACAATAAACTCAATCTAACAACATGAATACTAAACAGTAAAAAGAGCATTAAATGAAAATGATTCTTCAAAGGGAAGCCTAAAATGATTAACTGCTATAATCCCCCCAGTTGCTTTTATTTTGCATTTTAAGTTCATTCATTTGGGGGATATTGTTTGACATTAATCGTGTTATTCAGTCAGTTCCAAAAGTATCATTCTTAGTTTACTATAAAGGAAATATAATTGTGTAAAGTATCATATATGCAATACATAAAAATCAGAAACTAGAGACATTCCTGGAAAATGTTTTTTGTGTATTAATTGATTTTACCATGATGATTATTTTTTAAATCCTAAGGTTTGAACCATATGTTATTATGAGACATCTTGTAGAAAAGATTTCATTTTTTAGAGCATTATGTGTTTCAGCAAAATTACATATATGTGTGACTATGAAATTATTAAACTCAAAGGATCTATGTTGCTTTGTGAAGAATAGCATGCATATGTTAACAAATTACTAATGACAAAGCCAGTCCTCTATATCAGGGACAGTAAGTCAGTGTGAACTATCAGAACTATGGTCTGTGTATTTGGGGACTCCTCAGGCACTAACTTAGTTAAGGTCCAAAGTGCTGGACATAAAAAAGCACATATGCATCCTGGTAGATGTGATATATAAATTATCTGATATCCACAGAATCCTCAAGGCGATTAGAATTCAACAAGAAAAAATATGGACACTACATTCTTTCATATACATGGGAAGTTTAAGAAGGCATTAGGCAACAATTAAACATTTCTGCAAAGTTGACGTAATATATATTTCATGAGTTTGCTATTAGCAGTATTTGGATCATCAGTAAGGCTATAATTATTTCATCTGACTTTGTAAAACACATATTCGGACGTATATGTCAATATGGGATAAGGTCTTGCTGTATAGGTCAGTTTTGACTACTTTCAGTTTCTATTATGATTTATTTATACTCTGAAGAAAATTTTTAGTCATAAACTGCATTCTTTCTGCCATCCAGAATGTTACACATAACACAGAAAACCCACTCAAACAACTCTATAACTCAAGAAAGGAGAAACATTTGAATGACAATTATACATAGTTACTTAAAGCAAATATTGTTTTTTATGGGGTTATTTATTGCATTTTCTTAATTGTAATGTGAAACGTTTTTCAATTATTTCATTCATCTTGTCAGTTAAAAAGATGAGTTCCTTAAGTCTAATATAAATAATCAATAATATTCTAATTTTTGTGCCCTTACACTTGAATTTAATGATTTTTCTGATAATCATACACTTCAATGAAAGGTTTTCTGCAAGATACCTTAATATTAATGATTTTAATTATATAATGTGAATTTTTCTCAAATGTAATCTAAAAGACACAAGTAGATGAATCTATGTTTCTATATGTTAGTTAACTATCGGTTATCTCACTTGACACTACCCAACACTTTTAAAATACCAAAGCAGAGAGATCATCTTTTGCTAGTCTAACCCAACTAAATGAGTTCATTTAGTCCTTTGAAACATTTTTTTTTTAACCTTGGAAACTAAATTCATAGATTTAGAAGCTAACAAAATAGCAAAATTAATGATGCAGAGAAGATATCAAAGAACAAGGACTGTGTTTAGAAAAATGAGGAGTCTTAAGTTCAAGAATGGGAAAGGCAAAGGGAAAAGAACCAGAACTCACTGCTCATTTGTGAAATGGTCTATATCAGACATTTTGGCAGCTGCAAGCACATGTTGCTTCACAACTCATGAATGACATGAACACAGCCCTGCTCCCTTCCCCGGAGTCATGAGTCTTTGTATTCTTTCTTGCTCCCAATCCAACCATAATTGAAATTATTCTGTATTCCAAAATAAGCACAACTTAATTATGAATGAAAAAGGAAACACATCTCTTTATACTTGGCATGTACTGACTCATTTTTAATATTTTGTTAATAAATGAGCCATATTTGGCCCATGAGTTAGTCACCTAGCAGTCAGGTACTTAAATACTACTCAGTTACCCCCAAATAAATGTTGCTTCATTAGTATTTAGTAGCATCATTTCTGTAAAAGTACAGAGGTGGGGAAGAGGAAAACAGAAAGCAACTTAGAAACTATTGATGAGCAAGAGGTTCTAAATAATTTATTTATCTGGATAAGTAATGTAAATCAGCTTATACTATACAGGAATGAAGTTTTCATTACTGTTAATTCTGGTAACTAAACTCAAAATTCATAAGCTTGGTGGAAATTTAATGAATATATATATATCCAGTTCAGTTCAGTTGCTCAGTTGTGTCTGACTCTTTGCAACCCCGTGAACCACAGCACGCCAGGCCTCCCTGTCCATCACCAACTCCCGGAGTTCACCCAAACCCATGTCCATTGAGTTGGTAATGCCATCCAAGCATATCATCCTCTGTCGTCCCCTTCTCCTCCTGCCCTCAATCTTTCTCAGCATTAGGATCTTGTCCAATGAGTCGGTTCTTCACATCAGGTGGCCAAAGTATTGGAGTTTCAGCTTCAACATCATCCTACCAATGAACACCCAGGACTGATCACCTTTAGGATGGACTGGTTGGATTTCCTTGCAGTCCAAGGGACTTTCAAGAGTCTTCTCCAACACCACAGTTCAAAAGCATCAATTCTTCAGTGCTCAGTTTTCTTTATAGTCCAACTCTCACATCCATACACGACTACTGGAAAAACCATAGTCTTGATTAGACGGACCTTTATTGACAAAGTAATGTCTCTGCTTTTTAATTTTCTGTCTAGGTTGATCATAACTTTCCTCCCAGGGAGTCAGTCAGTCAGTTCAGTCGCTCAGTCACGTCCCACTCTCTGCGACCTCCATGAATCGCAGCACTCCAGGGCTCCCTGTCCATCACCAACTCCCGGAGTTTACTCAAACTCATGTCCGTCGAGTCAGTGATGCCATCCAGCCATCTCATCCTCTGTCATCCTCTTCTCCTCCTGCCCGCAATGAGTAAGCGTCTTTTAATTTCATGGCTGCAGTCACCATCTGCAGTGATTTTGGAGCCCAGAAAAGTAAAGTCAGCCACTGTTTCCATGGTTTCCCCATCTATTTGCCATGAAGTGATGGGACCAGATGCCATGATCTTAGTTTTCTGGATGTTGAGCTTTAAGCCAATTTTTTTCACTCTCCTCTTTCTCTTTCATCAAGAGGCTGTTTAGTTCTTCTTCACTTTCTGCCATAATCATGGTGTCATCTGAGTGTCTGAGGTTGTTGATATTTCTCCCGGCAATCTTGATTCCAGCTTGTGCTTCATCTAGCCCAGCATTGTACTGGGCTGGACATGATGTACTCTGCATATAAGTTAAAGAAGCAGGATGACAATATACAGCCTTGACGTACTCCTTTTCCTTTTTGGAACCAGTCTGTTGCTCCATGTCCAGTTCTAACTGTTGCTTCCGGACCTGCATACAGGTTTCTCAAGAGGCAGGTCAGGTGGTCCAGTATTTCCATCTCTTTCAGAAATTTCCACAGTTTATTGTGATCCACACAGTCAAAGGCTTTGGCGTAGTCAATAAAGCGGAAATAAATGTTTTTCTGGAACTCTCTTGCTTTTTTAATGATCCAGTGGATGTTGGCAATTTGATCTCTGGTTCCTCTGCCTTTTCTAATACATATATAATTTTTTTAATTTAAAAGCAACTTGTTTCAGGAGCTGGATTTTATGGTGATTAACTCTTTCATCCCTGAGTCTTACAGATTTTTATGTCATTATCTTACTTTAAAGGTTTTTGTGAGATATGTATATGATATATATATGAAAGTGAAAGTCACTCACTCATTTCCGACTTTTTGCAACCCCATGGACTATACAGTCCATGGAATTCTCCAGGCCAGAATACTGGAGTGGGTAGCTGTTCCCTTCTCCAGGGAATCTTCCCAATGCAGGGCTCAAACCCGCGTCTTCCACATTGCAGGCGGATTCTTTACCAACTGAGCTATCAGGGAAGCCCTGTATATATATGGTGGTTTAGTCACTAAGTCGTGTCCTACTCTTGCGATTCCATGGACTGTAGCCTGCTAGGCTCCTCTGTCCATGGGATTTTCCAGGCAACGATACTGAAATAGTTTGCCATTTCCTTCTCCAGGGGATCTTCCCAACCCTGGGATTGAACCCGGGTCTCCTACACCCAGTAGGAGTATACTGTATATACCCAGTATACAGAGTAAGTATAAATACTTATATAACTGTTATTTGGAGTAGTTAATAAATATCCTCCAAATCCTGAGTCCCTCACACATATGAATGCATATCTACACAATGTATGCAGCCAAATCTATAATGAGTTCCTTCTACTGAAT